CAAGTTAACACTACACACCCACTAGAAAAGATGAAATTAAAAGATAACAATAGCTGGGCCGGCCGGTGGCGCACTGCTACAGTGCGCCACTTGGGAGCGTGGTGGCGCTCCCGCCGAGGGTTCGGATCCCACATACAGACCGGTTCCCGCTCACTGGCTGAGCAAGGTGTGGGAGCAACACCGAGGGTTGCGATCCGTTGCCGGTCCCGGTCCGGTACGGGCGCAACACTGAGGGTTGCGATCCATTGCCGGACATGAAAAAAGACAAAAAGGAAAAAAAAAAAAAAGGTAACAATAGCGAGCATGGGTGACGGTACGAAGGAACTGGAAATGTCACAGACTGCAGATGGAACTGTAAAATGGTACAACCACTTTGGAAAATGGTTTGTTAATTTCTTAAAAAGTCAAATATATACTTTCCACATGATTCAGACAATCCACTCCAGAAATGAAAAGTACATTTTTACCCAACAGAAATGAAAGTACAAGTCCACACAAGACCTTGAAAAAACTGTTTATAGCAGCTTTATGTGTAATAGCCAAAAACTGGAAACAACCCAAATGTCCATCAGCACAATAAACAATGGAACCGTACAATGCTTGTACAGCATATTATGGAAACTACTCAATAAAAACGAAGTATTGATACACATCACAACATGATTCTCAAAATAATTATGGTGAAAGAAAAAGAGAATACACATTGTATGATTCCATGTACATAAAATTCTAGAAAATGTAAACTAATCTATAGTTATAGAAAACAGATCAATGATTGCCTGGAGGGAAGAGGGGTAGGGATAAAGTGAGACGAAAGGAAATTTTGGGGGGTGATATATGTGTTTATTACCTTGATTATACATAGTGGTTTCATGTGTGTATACATGTGTCAAAAGTTCCCAAATTGTACCCTTCAAACAAGCACAGTCCGTAGTCCCTCAATTATGCTTCAGTAAAGCTGTAAAACACACACACAGATGCATACACTACACAACCTCAATGTCTATAAGTGGTGGAATAGTAGAGCAAATTATACAGCACCTATCCTACTCTTTTAAGTTACTAATTAAAAACAATAAGTTTAATCTGTTTTTATTGGCTCTGAGGAATCTGTTAAGCTGGGGAAGGGGAGCTATCAGAATAATATGTGTAGACTTCTAAAATGATATGCTACATAGGTACATGAATATATTTCTGTAAACAAAGAGAAAAAGGTATGAAGGATGAATATGAAACAGAAGAAGACGGAATTGGTAAAACAGAAGGGGAATTCACTTCTGTTTTAGCTGACATGCGGCAAGGGGCTTGTCTTTTTTAAAATTCCAAAAAGTAAAATATATATATTTTACTTTATATATATATATATATATAAAGTATTCATATATATAATATATGAAATATATATATGAAATATATAATATGAAATATATATATGAAATATATAATATGAAATATATATATATTTCAATATGTATTAAAATGTCACAATGAAGTGACTCATCAAAAATGAGTCTCTCAGGGGCTGGCCGGTTATCAGCCGTTTAGAGTGTGTGCTGGTGACACCAAGGTCCACGGCGGGACCCCTGTAACGGCCAGACACCCGACAAGGTTTTTCTTCAGACCGGCTCCTCCATACCGCCTCTCTCTGTCGTCTGATCTACGCAGACACAGAGAGAGCACTCCAGCATTAGGATCAGCCATGACTGACATCACAGGGGATCCCCTGTGAAATATGCATGTTTTGGGGTGGGAGCCGCGGCTCCCAGGTGCAGGGAGGACGGGAGGAGCTAAGAGGGTCCTACCGCACTACAGAGGCCGGACGGCCAGCACAGCCACGACAGGACAAGGGACAAATGGGGAGGCACCACTGAAACCAACAGTGCCTAGAGGGACTGACCACAAATAAGTAAGGCTTGCGCTGACTGAGAAGCCCCTCACGGGTCAGGCGCTTCTTCTCCAAAGCTCTGAGGACAGCCTCAGGGCCCAAGATGGGGGCAAGACTGCGGCCGTTGATGCCCCTTGTACTCTCGCTGAGGACCTGAGACGCATGCGTAGAGCATCGTGGCCACGTGCAGGCGCGGAGGCCCGCAGCTGTGCAAAGTGTCCTATCGATGCTGTCCCTGCCTCCCCAGGATCGTGGCTGCAGCTGCTCCGGACCTGGGAAGGGCGGTGCCCACTCTGAACTCCCTGAGCTCCAGGTGGACAGCCCTGCAGGCTTCTCTCCCGGGAACAGGACAGAGGCTGGTTTGGAGGCTTGGGGAGTGTCTGGATAGGGCTCGGGTGGTGGAGAGGATGGATCTTGTCCTGTGGGTGTGTCACATTGGGGTGCAGTCACCCCACTGCTCTGGTTGTGCAAGGGTTGGAGAGCACATGGGCAGATTCACCTGTGGCTGCCTAGGATAGAAACCCAGGTGGCCCCAACAAATTTACAGATTAGTGAAAGGAGGGGTCCTTTATTGAGCACAAGTTAATCAGATATTTATATGTTATTGCATGTAAGTGTACTTTAGAGAATCTTTCACTGGGTCTGTGCATTAAAGGATATTAATGTGTAATGTTAATTTCTTGATCCCAAGGGGTGTATTGGGTTTATGTAGAAAATAGTCCTTGTATGTAGGAAATAGACACTAAGGTATTGGGGGTAAATGGCCATGGTGTCAGCAGTTTAAAAATGGGGATTGGGGAGAATGTTTGCTCTGCTCTTCTTATAACTTTTCTGTAAATCTGAAATTTAAAAAGGAAAAGAAAAAATTACTCTAGCCTAATAAGAGAAATGAGCCATGCAACTCTGTATCCTGTAGCAGATTATATAACACAAGAATTAGCAAATCCTAGAAAAATTAGGAATTCAACTATAACGTCATCTGCACATGGGTATTTTGGGGGAGATGAAATCTTTGCCTTCCATATTCTTTTATGCTCACAGGTGTAGTCACTTTTCCTATTTCTTGCATACATTTTGCCATTTTATGCTTTTCTATCAGTTTATTCTAGTTTTCAAATTTGTTATTGTATAGTTTTAATAATGCAATATTATTTTTAAAACTGTATTTCTGGGGCCGGCCCGGTGGCGCACTGCTACAGTGCGCCGCTTGGGAGCACGGCGGCGCTCCTGCCAAGGGTTCGGATCCCACATACAGACCGGTTCCCGCTCACTGGCTGAGCGAGGTGCGGGCGCAACACCAAGGGTTGCGATCCCGTTGCCGGTCCCGGTCCGGTACGGGCGCGACACTGAGGGTTGTAATCCGTTGCTGGTCACGAAAAAAGACAAAAAATGAAAAAAAAAAACTGTATTTCTGACCATTTTATTCCTTATTCTGTTATTTATTTATTTATATCTTCTCTTTTTTCTTGACAAGTCTTGTTAATCTTCTATATCGACTTTTCTGTTGTAATCGTTCTCCATTTCATGTTTCTTTCCTTATCTGTATTCTTTCCTTTGTTTCTTCAAGATTGTCCTATTACTGCTCTTCCGAGCGATCCCGTTGCCGGTCCCGGTCCGGTACGGGCGCGACACTGAGGGTTGTAATCCGTTGCTGGTCACGAAAAAAGACAAAAAATGAAAAAAAAAAACTGTATTTCTGACCATTTTATTCCTTATTCTGTTATTTATTTATTTATATCTTCTCTTTTTTCTTGACAAGTCTTGTTAATCTTCTATATCGACTTTTCTGTTGTAATCGTTCTCCATTTCATGTTTCTTTCCTTATCTGTATTCTTTCCTTTGTTTCTTCAAGATTGTCCTATTACTTTGAAAATAAGTAATAAACATAGTGAACACTCAACTGAAACAGCTGAAAAATGCTGTTTCAGTTGAGTGTTCACCATGTTTATTTTTAACCTTTCTTGTTTCCTAAAAAATGTCCTTAAGCTATGAATTAACCTTTAGGTACTGCTTTAGTTGTATCTCTTAAGGTTTTATGGCATAATGTCTTTATTATTAACTTTAAAATGTCCTAATTCCTATTGAGATTTGATGTCATCTATGGGTCAAAGATCATTTTTTCTTAATTTCGATATACGTGGGAATGTGTTATTAGCTTTCTGATATTCATTTCTAACTTACTTGTGTTAATTGCAGTGTGGTCAGAGAATATGGTCAGTGATGATAACAGTTTCTTAAAATTTCTTGATATTTGCTTCATGGCCTAGTGCCTGGTCATTTTTAAAATATATGCCCATAAAATCAAATTTGTAGGTTGTGTTCAAGTGTTCTATGTCCTTGCTGGTTTTTTGTTTGTTTGTTTGTTTGTTTTGTCAGCTTTATCAGTTACAGAAAGTGATTTTTGTTAACTTATTGTAAGTCTGCCAATTTTTCTTTTCTGTGTTTTTAATCTATTTTATAGAGTATTTTACCAGATATTGATTTAGCCATGCCAATTTTCATTTAGCTGGTATTTGCCTTGGTATATCTTTTTTATCCTTTTGTTTACTAACCTGTGTTCTTATGTTTTAGTGTGTCCCTGGTAAATAACATGAAGCTCAATGTTGTTTGTTTATTCATTGTTCATTCTGTCTTAGAAGTTTGTATTTATTTTTGATCAGTCATGATTTCTGAAATTTTGTGAGTCATTTCTACCATTTTATATGTTAAGTTGTTGCTACTTTTTTTAGGTATTTCCATTAATTCTTTCTCTTTGATTGCCTGATTTTTTTTCTTTAGCTACCCTTCCCTATCCCAGTCCCTACCCCCACATGCCATTTTCTTCTTTACCACTTGGGAAATTATTCACTCAGTTACTATCTTTTGGTGGTCACCCTGCTATAGGGCATAAATTTGGCTGCCTGCCCCCAAGGCATTCAGCTCCTGGCTTAGGCTTGGCAAAATCTTGTTACTGGACCCAGGTCTGGCTGCCTGCCTCCAAATAAAAACAAACCCAAAAGTCAAATGTTGGTGAAAATAGAAGTCAGTGTTTATTCAAGAATACCAGTGAACCTGAGGAGAGATGTCAGCCTAACCCATCTCTCTGGTCAACCTGAAGGAGAGTGGCCAGACTAAAACCATTTCAAAGACTCAGTTTTATTGAGGGGGTTTTAAAGAGAGGATTAAGGAATGGACTGTGGAAAAGGAAAAGCAGGAGGGAGGGGGACATGGGCTGTGGTGGCTCCATGCAAGGAGCTAGGTGCAACATCTCATCAAGGCTCTGTCTGGTTTCTGCTCCCATCCTTGCTGTTATCTCAGGGTCCTGCTGGAGGGGTGGAATCAGCACCCCCTTATCGATGCCTTCCTTGTTTTCTCAGCGTCTGGATGGTACATGTCTTGTAGCAAGTCTGCAGCTCCAGGCTGACTGGAAAATAATTTTACATTTATGTACATAATGTCATCTTGCCCCATAACCAAGGTCAAAATATCAAATAACCATGGGAAAAGGGGGAACTCTGAAATGCATACTAGGAAAAAAAACTGTGTCCTTTACACATCTTTTAGAGCTCATGCAGTTTTAGGTCCCAACATGGCTTCAGTCCTGTTCACTCCAACAACTCTACAGTTTTTAACACATTTAATTGAACAAATTCTAAATCTAATCGCTACCACTAGCCTCTTGTTAAAGAATACAGGGACCTTGGGACATTTTAACTTCAGTTACCACCACACCCCCTCTTTCTAACTTGAGATCCACTTTTTCACTTGAAATCTGCTGGGAGGAGTCTCTGTGAACATCTGATCAGCCGTGTGCCACTAGACCTCACTAACTTACTCATGTTCATGCTTAAATGCCACTTCCTCTGAGAAGACTTCTGAGTCGGGGTGAGTAGCCCTCAGACTGGACTCTGTATACTTTGAAATGCCCAAAAACTTCCCAAAGGTGTACACAGGCTTAATAGTGTTAAAGGAATCAATTTCCAGATCCTCCTCTTTTCTGTGTACTCTTTCTCATATTGATCTGCCTGAGAACCAAGCCATCTACAGACCAGAAGCAGCTGGTTGACTCTCCTTTTCTCCTTCCCTTTCACGATTCCCTGTTCCCAATCTATAAAATAAAGGTATGTCTCCATTACCTCTAGTTATTATTGTTCAATGCCCTGGCGTGTAAATTCCCCTGAAACACCAAAAATAGGCAGCACTTTAAAATATTAGCATCAGTGAAATCTCCCTTTATGGGCCCTTTGTGTCTTTCCCTATATTTTTCATATTCTGTGAGGCAAAGCATTAGAAAGGCAGTATTCTGGTGCATGTTGGGCTGTTAAAAATTAGACATAATGTGGAGTCAGACAACAGTAGAGTTGCCAGATTTAGCAAGTAAAAATACAGGAACACAGTTAAATTCGAATTTCAGGTAGGTAAAAAAAAAAATTTAGTATATACCCAAAATATACTAAAACTTTGAAAAATTATTAATTTCTGAAATTCAAACTTAACTAGCCATTCTATATTTTATCTGGCAACCCTAGAAAAAGTAAGGACATTTTTTTTCTTCCATCTCTTTGACATTTTTAAACAATACAATATACCCAAGGGAGAGTTCTGTTAGAGCAAACCCAAAAACGTCGGTAAGAAGTTTTGAAGCAGAGGTACTTTATTTCATCTAGGCTACATATTCTAGCTCCAAGGATATATAGAAATGAACACATTATAAAATAAAAATGCTCCAAACACATTAAAATGCTACAAACACATTAAAAAATAAATATTTCATTGCTATCAATGTATATATGTTAAGTTCACTGATCTGTATACATTAGATGAGTGCACTTTAATGTAAGTACCTTATACCTCAATTGAAAAAAGTTTTGAAGAGGAATGTTGAAACTAACAGTGTACTTTCTTAAGATACACTTAAATGAAACAGTGCACTTTCTCTGTTAAGTAAGGTATGTTTAAATGAAAGAATAACACATATAATTTGTTATTTTTATGCAGCTTTTTGTTAAACTTCCCAGAAATTAAGAGACTAGATGATTCTCATGGCTACGTAAGAAATCATTTTTCAAGTCAGGTAGACTGTAATTTTAGTACCGAAAAAAAATACATTGAAGAATCTGGACAGTTCTTCAATTTATCAATCAAACAATCATTAGAGAAATGAGAGCATTAGGGGTATGAGAGCAAAAAAGTTTAAGAACCACTAACGTAAGTTATACTTTCTCATAGTAACCTGAACTTTTCCCTTTACTTATCACAATCTGTAAATACGTATTTATTGGTGATTATTTCATGTCTGTTTCTCCAACATCGAGCCTCAGAGAAACAATCTGAGCATGTTGTTTATCTTCAGTGAATCTAAGTGAAAGATTGAATGAGCAAGTGGATTACTGTGGAGGTGGTATTTGCAGTCCTGGGAGTAAATGAGATGACCCAAAACAGGTAAGCAAAGCAGAGGAACGCTGGAAAACAACAATAGATTTACAGCTGCTTTTAGGATACAGACTGTCATTTGTCTTTGCAGGTTTTCCCCCTTTCCTTTCCTCCTTAGTCCCCAGGGAGCATAGTGTTTTGTGTGTGGGAACAATACAAAAGTAAAAATAAACCTGCTTTGTCAGACCGGGTCGAAGCCACAGAGTGCATAACTACTGTTAAGAGTGTTCTTTTCAGTGGAACAATTACGTTAGAAGACTGGAATGTGACACTGGGCAAGTCGCTTGATCACTTTTTGCCTCACTGTCTTCACTGTCCTGTAGGAGAAACAGATATTACACATGCAAGATGTAGTCAGTCCCTTAGCCCCTTCAAGGAAGCTACATGTGACCTCTCCTCATATCCTGCCATTGAAATAGGAATTTTCTTTTGTTGTCGCCCAGTTTAATAAAGTAATCTCTGAGTGCATCATGCACATCGTATCACATGCTCTAGTTCCCACATCCTTCAACAATCTTACAGTCGAGTTCATTTTTTCTGTTTCTCCCACCCACTTTCTAGAACTTTAGCCCTAAATAAATTTATGTTGATCACTTGTTCAGATAGTCTCTTTTTAGTTGGATGTGGTTTACTGCCGCCACCAGGAGGCAGCATGGACTTGGTTAGTGATAATCTCACTGGATGTCTGTGTATTTGCAGAGTCATCCTGTCGCTTGTTAAAGGAAGATGTCTTTTCTATTTAAGATGCAATTAAATCTGACCATTTTTCTTTCAAATAATACCCAGTGTTAATGAGGATGTGGGGAAGCAGACACCATCATATACTTGCAGTAGAGTATTGATTGAGATGATTTGAAATTTACATACAGAAGACTTAAAATTGCTTACATTCTTTGCTCTGGCTTTCCTCTTCCCTATACCCACTCTCCCACCCCAGTAATTTTTCCTAAGGAAATTAGTGTGACTATGAGCCAAAGTTGAGCTACAGGGGCATTCAGTACAGCATGTCTGTAATAACATAAACTAAAAACAGCATAAATATTCAACAAAAAGGGATTCAGATCATATAATGGATGACTCTGTGGCTGTTAAAAATGATATTGTTGAAATGTTTTTCAAAAATGTGGTATACATACCACCAGCTGTGGTACCCAGGACAATTTTCAGTGGTACATGGAAGGGCAGCATCTCTGTTTCATTATATTTGGTATTTCACTGCATATGGAAGGGAAGTTTCCATTTCACTGTATCTTTTCCCCGGTCCCAGCAACACTGTTCTGGCTCAGCATGGCCTCCCTCCTAAATAGCGGGGTGGCCAAGACTTCCCACACACACTCAGGTTCTTCTCTTCCCCTTCTTCCTCTAAGATCCCCCTCTCTGTCCCCCCTCCAAGGCCAAGGCCTCATCCTGCCATCACAGCCTCAACTCCCTTTCCTTTCCACACAGCTCTTTTTCTTCACCAGCACAGCCCACCCTCAGCCTGGCAGCAGCTCCCCCTTATTGCCTTCAAGCCCCTTTTCAGAATATTTCCTGAAACCCCCAACTCTGCCCCTTCTTCTAAGCTCCATTCTGCCTTCCTGTTCTATCATTTTCTGGCACACATTTCTTGGAGGAAATTTTTCCTGATTGTGTCTAACCCATGTGACCCTCACTGCTAGCGTCCAGCTTCCTCTTTGTCTCTGGAAGTCCCTAATGTCCTTCCCATTCCATTGCTTTCAGTCCATTACCTTCAGTATTGCTTCCTGGCCCTACAAATGTTCTCTATTGGATCTTTCCTTTTTTTTTTTTTTTTGCTCTTTTATGTCCTTCCTCCTTATCATTCAATTTGTTTTGTAAGTGGAGCTTCCCCAAATATCCTGCTTGATATTTAGGGAACAATCGTAAATGTCATCCTGATGTACTCCTGCCTCAGCAATGAGGTTAAGGTGTTCATCTCCTCATAATCGTAGTCACAAATATGTGGCAGGCCAGTTTCTTTCTATATATGTATAGGAAGTCAGCTAATCAACTTCATAGATCAGGACTTACTAACTTGGTGAATGTCTCAAGTGGAAATTAAAAAGTAGGAAGTATTTCCTATGAGTTCTATGACTTAGAGAGTAATGAGGAAACAGAGGAGAAATAAGACAAAATACAAGCAAACTTTTTAAAAATTAATTTAAATCAGAACCTAAAATCTCACTTGAAATTCATTGTGGTCTTTGCGGGGAAGAATTCTTCTAAAAGTTGGAAAGTGAACTGTGAAAAATAGTATATGTAGGGCCGGCCCGGTGGCGCACTGGATAGTGCACTGCTTGGGAAGCGCGGCGGCGCTCCCGTCCGAGGGTTCGGATCCCACATACAGACCGGCTCCCGCTCACTGGCTGAGCGAGGCACGGGAGCAACACCGAGGCTTGCGATCCCGTTGCCAGTCCCCGGTCCGGTACGGGGGCAACACTGAGGGTTGCGATCCGTTGCCGGACACGGAAAAAAGACAAAAGACAAAAAAAAAAAAATAGTATATGTTGTTGGTACGTGTATATTAGAATTACAGTCTCTCTTACCAAGGATTGCTTTAACTACAAAACAGTCATTAATATGTCACCCACACAACAATGGGACCTAAAGAATGCTGTTTAAACAAATTTAATGATTACCTAGGACCAAAACTGTTGGTGTTGTCAGCATGACTTAGAGGAAGACGGACATAGATAAGAATGAGGTTAAAATCTGTTAAAAGAATTATCTTATTTGGTGTGATAACACTATAGATATGATTAACTTTGGACATTATAAGAAAATGTTAGTATAAATAAATGAATTTAAAATGTGAAGGTACAGACCCTACAAGCAATATTTAAAAATAAAATAAAATTCAGCTAGATGAGACTTGGAAAATACACACCTAAACGGCACCATATACAATGACTGAAAAGGAAGGGATAAAAAATATATACCACCTGTATCAGTTATTTATTGACAAAATAATGCTGTATAATAACCACATAAAAAATAAGCATTTCTTTGATTCCCAAGTGTGCAGATGGGATCGGGCGAGCTGGAGGCTCATCTGTGGGTTGGTGTTGCTCTCTCACACACTCGGGGCTTTGGCTAACCAGCTCAGCTCCTCCCTACATGGGCTGTCACACAGTAGGCGAGCCTGGGCTGTGCACATGGTGACAGCCAGGCTCTGAAAGAGAGTAGGAGTCAATGCACACTTCTTCTGAGGCACAGGCTATTGCTTATAACAGAAATACCTGAAACTGGGTAATTTGTAAAGAAACAATATTTATTGCATACAATTTCAGAGGCTGGGAAGTCCAAAGTCCAGGGAACACATCTGGTGAGGGACTTCTTTGGTAGTGACTTCAGCAATGCAGGGTGTCACATGACAAAATGGCAGAAGCAGGAAGAGAGAGAGAGAGCTCCTTGTGTGCTCTTCTTTTAAAACCCTCAGAACCACACCAGTGACTACCATTAAACCATCAATGGATTAATCCATTTGCTAGGTCATGGTCCTCACAATCTAATCACCTCTTCAAGGCTACACCTTTCAATTACCACAGTAGGATTTCCACACTGTAACATTGTCACAGTGGGGTTAAGTTTCTAACACATGGACTTCGGGGACACAATTCAATCCACAGCAATTCAGAACAGGCACCTTGTCCTTCTACAGAATTCTATTGGCTAACACGAATCACAAGGCCAGCTCAGGCTCAAGGGGAGGGGAAATCAAGTCCTCCAATTGATGCTAAGATCTGCAGGCAGTTTACAAAGTGTGTGGATATAGGGAGGAATAAAGACTTACAGGTGTTTTTATAATCTATCATACCTTGCAAATTCTAATTGAGATAGAGTGGGTTTAGCCATGTTAATATCAACCAAAATTAATTTTAAGGCAAGAAAAAAGCTACTGAAAGTAAAGAAGACAGTCGTTAGTAAAGGAAAAATTTTTTCCCTGACCGCCCTGTTTAAAGCCTGTCTTCCACTCCCTCCTGTTCCCAAACACCCTTCACCTGCTTTGCATGTTTTTTTGTTTCATAGCACCTCTGATACCATAATTTATTTATTATGTTTATTGTTTTGAACAAAGAAAAAAACCAAAAATTTAATGGTTAGCATACATATATAAAAACAAATGTCAGAAAATGAAGTTTATTTGATGATTTAATCCAAATTATGTAAAAGATAGAAATCTCAATCTTTGTTTTTACAAATGTTGAGGGAAAAATAATGTTGAAATGGTAATATACAGAAAAAGTGTTAATACTAGTCTTGAGTTTTCAAATCTCTCTTACAGATTTTGGTACATGGAAAACAGTCAGCACGGGCCCAGGATCCCCTACTGGGCATTTCTGCCAAGGAGACAGTCCTGGTAGAAATAAAGCAGAGAGCTGTGTGCACATAGATGAATGGATGCTCACCTCCTGGGGACCTGCACGTGCAGGGTGCAGAGGGAGGTGGCCCTTCTTGGAGATCCATGGAGGGGCTGTGGGCATTCTCCTGGGAGAGAGGCTGGAGCTCCCCTGAGCCCTCTTGCTCACAGGGACCTCAGGAGGTTCCCATGGGAGGCCAGTTCTAGGGTGCCCTCTCCAGCAGCTGGCCACTCCTGTCTGTCTCAGCCCAGGCTGAGACCTGCCCCACCTGCCAGCTCTTTCCCAAAAAGGCATCAGAACAGCAAACCCAATCCAGTCCCCTCAGAGGAAGAGGTCAAGAGGGTCAGGGCACCCTGACACTTCATCCTGGCACATGAAGTAACTGATTAATTAACTGGCTAATAGATTAGGGTAGAATATGCTGCTGTGGCCTTCTGGGATGGCATCCCGGGAGGGACCCAGGTTGCAGCTGCCTGTGGCTGTGTCCTGGAGGATGCAGGACAGCCCACTTGAGGTTCACTGGGCTTGAGCCCCCAGCCAGTTCTGGGGGTACGTGGGCTTGGCCAGAGCAGGCCACAGAGTGGCATGCAGCAGAGGTGCTGGGCTGTCCCTGTGGGCTTGGGGAAGAGGGAGAGAGCTTTCACTCTCTGTGGATGGGGCCCTCCCAGGGTCCTGAGATCAGGGTCCTCAGCCCAGAGACACCTCAGCGTCTCTAAGCACAGGCTGCTCTGGAGCTGCAGGGTGGGTACTGTGCAGTGGACTAGAGAGGGTGGAGCATGCCCTAGTGACCGAGGGGCTTTCATTGCCCATTTTCCTGATGAGCAAATCAAATCCCCAAAGCCTCAAGCCAGGTGGGCAGAAGCACTGGGCAGAGGTATTACCTTCTCCCCTTTCTGGCTCCCATAAGCCCCTGACTTCCCTGGGCTTGCCTGAGAGTGGGAGAAAACGACCTTTCCTTGTGAGGGTGGACATAGAAGCCACCAGTCATGTGGGGTGAGGGGACCCAGACATCCCTAGAGTCCCTGCAGGGCAGTGCCTCCTGCTTGCTGGCTGGACAGGGAAGCCAGGCTGGGTCCTCCTGGGAATTGAACTTTCAAGCACCAATCTTCCGCAGCTTGAATCTGTCCCCCAGAACCTTGGGCAAGCTCAGGCTCTGCCACCAGCTCCCCACATTGTTCTTCCTCAGAACCTTAGGGTGGGCTCCCCTCACTTGAGGTCCTCAGCCCCTGCTCTCCATTCTGAGGTCTGGCAAGCACCCAACCTTCAAGCCTGAGGCTAAGGACCCCCCGGCAGGAAACTCTAGCGGCTTAACTACTAGTGTGAACAGGCACTTGCTTAATAAATACAGCAGTGAGCCCCCTGCTTCTGGGGTGTTGTCCCCTGCATTTCACATGTCAAGTAAACAGGCCACACTGTCCTTCATCCAAAGGCCTTTACACACACAGTTATCTCCACCTGGAAGGCCACCCTCCCCTCCTCCACATGAGGAATTACTGCTAACACAGCAGAGTTCAGCTCAGCAGCTCCTCCTCTGTGAAGCCTCCTTGACATCTTGTCCCCCACTGAGACCACCCAGAGCACACACAGTCCCAGGGGACCAGAGCTGTGCACTGTGCAAATAGAGGCCTGAGCTCAGCCTCACTGTGTGCCAAGCTGCCCCAGCTCCCATGCCCTCTTGAGCATGCCCTGTAGTTTATTTATTGTGTTTACATTTCAGTATGTGTTTCCCCTGGAAGAATGTAAGTTCCACTAGGCAGGGATCTTTGACTCTTTTGTTCACTAATGTTTCCTATCTACCTAGAACAGTGCCTAACACATGGTGGGTACCCAGTAAACATTTGTTGAGCAAATTAATATATCGAAAAGACATAAAAATTATTAATATATAATCTTGGTGATGGATTAGAATTACTCCCAATTATCACTCTCTCCCTGTAAGGGAATTATGTATCCACACCCTTTGCCATATAATTTTGCAGTGCCACCTTCAGACAGAGTAAATTTGCCTGCCCTAATGACATTGAGGTTAGCAATAAGATTTACTTTAGCCAATGGAATGTGAGCAGAAATAACATCCACCAGAAGCTTTAAACACACCTGTGAGACTTGGCTTACTCTCTCAGAGATTCTCCGCTTGTCTTGAGAAAACCATGCCCTGAGCAGTTGCTGGTCTGAGAGATATGGAATAGGTCTGACTCTACAGCCTAAGGCACAGCCATCCCAGGTGACACACAGATCTGTTAGGAAGAAATAAATGCTTATTAGAAGCTACTGACATTCTGCAGTTGTTTACTATTTCATATTACTGCAGCCAAAACTTGATTAATATAGTACAAAAAGTAATAAAATTTCCAAATATAGAGCAAAATCTAAAAACTTCAAAGAGAACTTGACAAACTAAATCATCGTAGGAAATTTTAATATACCTTCATCAGAAATTGATAAACCTGGCTGGCAAAATAATTGGAAAGGATGAAGTAAATTAGATCAGATTTGTTCCAATACATATAAATGGAATGCTTTTTTTGCATCTTTGTCAAATATGTTTGGGATAATATAAAAAGTAATCACATAGTAGCTCCCAAAAGTTCAACAATTTGAAAGACTCAGTATCACATAGGACATTATCTGACCTTATTTAATTAGTAATAAAGTATTTCTACAACAAAATGTATTTTTTTAAAGTATTTTGAAACTTAAAAACATAATTCAAAATAACTCATGAAACAATTGGGAAGTCACAATGGAAATTTTAAAAGATTTCAAACAATTGAAATGAAAGTGCCACATACCAAAACATGCAGAATTGTGGAACAGTGAAATTGGTGCTTAGAAATAAATTTCTAGCCATAATAATAATAAATATTCTATTTAAAAATACTTATTATGTTATTTTATGACACATATTTTTAAAGATATTATATACATTTATATTAAATGAGCTAAGCTTTCAACTTGAAAAGCCATAGAGAAGACAAGAAAAACTACAAAAATTTGCAGGGAGAATTTTGCTTCTGACCATGATAGACAAATAGAAACAGGATTTATCCTAATGCCTTAAATAACTAGAAAAGGAGACAATGGTTTCAGACATTAGACAACAGGCAGTGCAGGACAATGATCCCAAAGAGAAGGGAAACAAATATGATAAGCCTTCTGATTGCTTCAGCTTACTGCCTAAAGAGAGTTTACAGACTACGGCATAAGGAGAGGAAAACCAAACAAAGCCGAGCAGTCTTGCTGACTTGAGAGGATTCAGTGTATGGGGAAGCCAAGGCAGTTAAAATTTTCAGGGCACAATATCAGAGAGGAAGAAGATGCACACAGAGAGCACCTGCACTGAGGTTCCCCTCTATGTCTTTGCCTGAATACGGATCTGCACATGTTTGCAAGAAGCAACATAAGGCCAGGGGGAGAACTATCAGAAAGAAGAAGGCACAACAATTCCCAGAGCTCCCTTAGAGCTGAGAATAGTCCATGTTCAGATCAACTAGAGTGAAAAGACTTCCTTAATACATGGAGCATCAGGCCGGCCCGGTGGCGCACTGGATAGTGCGCCGCTTGGGAAGTGCGGCGGCGCTCCCGCCCGAGGGTTCGGATCCCACATACAGACCGGTTCCCGCTCACTGGCTGAGCGAGGCGCGGGAGCAACGCCGAGGGTTGCAATCCCGTTGCCGGTCCCCGGTCTGGTATGGGCGCAACACTGAGGGTTGCGATCCGTTGCCGGACATGGAAAAAGACAAAAGACAAAAAAAAAAAAAATACATGGAGCATCAAGTAAAATCCTCAAAAAGTTATTGCCTCAATAGGAGAAAATTAACTCCAGACTGAAGGCTGCTCTGGATTCACCTAAGGATTCACTTAAGACATAAAAACAACCCTTGAAAGATATCTAACTGATTTTAAGTAACTTAACTGTGTTTCATAGTAAAGCCCGAAAATGTCTAAAGAAATATAACAAAATCCAGCACCCATCAGTGACCAGAATCCAGTGGAAAATCACCAGTTATGCAATCAGAAAAGAAAATACAACCTGTGGCCACAGAGAGGGAAATCAATCAATTAAAACAGACCCAGAAATAACAGATATGATAAAATTAACAGTTAAGTATGTTAAAACAGCCATTAAAAATTGCAGGGGAGGGGAGGTCAGGGAGAGGTTGGGGGGGATGGGAAATTATTGCAATTTGTGGTAACAGGCATGCTGCTAGTATTGATCTGATCATCACATCTTGGGCACAGGTGGTGATGGTCAGCTTTGTACCTCATGAATATGCATAATTAATTTTAGAAACAAGATATAATTTTTAAAAAGACCACAGTGGTGTGTTGGACTTGCCAAGGGAGAGAACAGACCTCGGGTTGCCAGTGGGGGAGTTGGGAAGAGGTTGAGTAGGGACACAGGGCACAATTGCAACTTGAGATGGTGGGCATGCTGATAATATTGATCTAATTACCACATCTGGGGCACAGATGCTGATGGTCAGCTCTGTGACCCATGAATATGTATAATCAATAAAAATTTAGAAAATAAACAAATATTACATGGAAAAGAGGCCTGAACTACAGATACGACTGAATGAATGCTATAAATACAAAAGAGGAAAATTCCTGGTTCTCAGTAGGATCATGTGGCTCGGTCATACAATTGACTCCTGTCCAGCAGTTAAAATGAATGAAGTGAATCTACATATGTCGAAAAATCATGAAAATATAACTAAAATAAAAAAACAAGTTGCAAAAGGATATGCATGATAGTATATATTTGAGTAAATGTTTAAATATAGTACATATTTTTATGCATGCATACATATATAGAAAAAAAATTAAATACATGAGAATTAGAATACCAATTTATAAACTTCAAGATATTGGTTTCCTCAAAACCACATTGAAAAACAAACAAAAACAAAAACAAACAAAAAACCACATTGAGATATCTCACCCCATTTAGATTGGCCATTATTAAGACTGAGAATAACAAATGCTGGTGAGGACGTGGGGAAAGAGGAACTCTTCTACACTGTTGGTGGGACTGTAAATTATCACAAACATTATAGAAAACAGTATAGAAGATCCTCAAACAACTACAGATAGAACTACCATATGATCCAGCAGCCCCACTATTGGGTATATATCCAAAGGAATGGAAATCATCATGTTCGAAAGGACACCTGCACTCCCATGTTCATCGCAGCTCTATTTACAATAGCCAAAATATGGAACCAACCTAAGTGTCCATCAGTGGATGACTGGACAAGGAAAATGTGGTATATATACACAATGGAATACTACTCAGCCATAAAAAAGAATGAAATTCTACCATTTGCAGCAACATGGATGAGTCTGGAGAAAATTATGTTAAGTGAAATAAGCCAAACAAGGAAAGAGACATACCACATATTCTTACTCATAACTGTGTACTAAGAAAGAAGGAAAGAAAGAAAAAAAGAAAAGAAAAGACCACAACAATACAATGAACTTTCAGAAGGAGAGAACAGATCTAAGGTTACCAGAGATGGGGGAGAGGGAGGAAGGGGGGTTGGGGAATGATAGGTCGAGTAAAGGGCATAAAGAAAAATTATGATTTGTAATAATGAATAAACTAATAACAAAAAGTAAAAATATTTTTAAGTGTCTATGTCAAGTAGAGATCATTTTGTATTTTTTTCTATTTTGGGGGTATTATTTTTACACATTATTGAAATATGTAATCTTGTCACAATATATTCATTCAAATAATAATAAACCATGAATTTATAAAGATATTGGTTTCCTCTGGGAGGAAGGAAGCTTGAAGGAATGGGGGGTGGGAGTACAAAAGAGGACTTTAGCTATAAATATGATGCTTTATTTCATTCATGTCACAAAAAAATGAAAAAGATACAGAGACAGAACTGAAGGCAAAAATAGCAAAATATTATTATCTTTTAGGCATTATGGTGTCTATTATTTTCCATACTTTTGGTATGTCCTAAATGTTTCATAATTTAAAATGATTTGAGGGTCGATTAAAGCCAGCCATTACTTTACACTTCATACAACAAACTGCATCATATAGTGATCATATTGATGTTGGAGGTGGGTCCAGGGGGGCCTGATAGTCGGCCTCAACCCACCCGGGTGTCTTACCAGGTTTTGACTCCACCACAGGAAAGAATTTAAGGGCAGAGTCACAGTAGAAAGTGAGAACAGGTTTAATATAACAGATAAGAAATACAGGTTCCACAGAGAGAGTTCCAGAACCCGAGCAGGGCCCACACCAAGTTTAACACAAAAGCAAGAAACACATACGTAAAGTCTAGTGCAGAGTGCAGGCTGGCTCAAAAGAGTGGGCAGCCACCTGCCAAAAGTAAGTGTGATACAGAGGAAAGCATACACCCCTCAAAGAAATACACACTCCACAGGCAGAGTGTGGGCTGACTCCAGGGGAGTGAGCAACGACTCTGCTTTCAGGTTGCCTCCGGGTAAGTGAGCAACAATCCCACCTTCAGCTGGGATTTGGCTTTTATAGTTTCTCTTTCTAATGAATGGGGGTGGTTTCCAGTTGTGCAACATTTAGTCTTGCACATGCTCAGTTGGTCTCTTCCTGGAGCATGTTCATTGGTCAGACCCTATCACATGCATCAGGCATATTCAAGAATATTCTGTGCTCTCTACTGAGCATGCCCAGCCATTGGATTTGCATAAATCAGCCTCTTGTGGTCTCATTTACCCCCCAGTTGGCGCTGAAGATAGGTCTGACTGGCAACAGTAACTTTTCTCCGGGGGAGAGCTCAGAGGAGGGGGGCTGAGACCTCATGGAGTGGCTGGAAACCCAGAGGCATGTCCTGAAACATGAACCCAGGGAAACTGAGTACCTCTTATATCAATATTCCTGAATAAGCTCATAATTGACATAGTTACTAGATGTACAGACAAGAGTTAACACATGTTATTTCCATCAGGAAACTTTCTCATAGTATTAACAAATTGGGAATCATATAAGTAGATTCTTAGCTCCAATTATCTACTGATTCTAACTCTGGAGGAGGCCAGAGTTAACACTAGTATCCTCTAGATGATTGCAGCATATCACTAAATGGCTGCTGTTAAGTTCCATCTCATGATTAATTATTGCTAAGGGTGAGTGCCCTATGATCCCATCTTTGTAAATGAGGTCAGAGACACAACAATTACAATTCCTTGAAGTTGATACAACAAGCAAACAGAAAGGAGA